TTTTTTTTTTTTTTTTTTTTTTTTTTTTTCTTTCTTTTTTTTTTTTTTTAAGTTTATTTATATTTTGAGAGAGAGAGAGAGAGACAGAGAATGCCAAGTAGGCTCCACACTGTCAGTGTTGAGCCTCATGTGGGGCCCAGACTCACAGACTACGAGATCATGACCTGGGCCAAAGTTGGGTGTTTAACCGACTAAGTCACCCAGGCATCCCCCACTAAGCTACTTTCTGTCTCTGTAGATCTGCTTGTTCTAGATATTTCATATAAATGCAATCATACAATATGTGGCCTTTTGTGACTGGCTTCTTTCATACCATCATGTTTTCAATGTCCATCCATGTTGTAGCATGAATTAAGGCTTCATTCCTTTTTACAGCTGAATAATAATTCCGTTGCCCAGATATTCTATATGTTGTTTCTCCATTCATCTGGTTGATGGACACTCAGGTTGCTTTCACCTTTTGGCTGTTGTGGGTAATGCTGCCGTGAACACTTATTACAAGTTTTTGTGGGGACCCGTGTTTTCATCTTTCTTGTTTTTATACCTAGGAATGGAATTTCTGGGTGGTAAGGCCCCTGTGTAGCCTCTTTTGGGAGCTGCCAAAGTGTTTTCCAAAGTAACTGCACCATTTATGTTCTCCCTAGCAGCATGTGAGTTTCCGATTTTTCCACATCCTCACCAACAGTTGTTATTGTCTTTTTTTTTTTAATGTTTATTTTTGAGAGAAAGACAGAGCATGAGTGCGGGAGGAACAGAGGGAGAGGGAGACAGAGGATCTGAAGCAGGCTCCATGCTGACAGCAGAGAGCCTGATGTTGGGCTTGAGCTCATGAACTGTGAGATCACTACCTGAGCCGAAGTCAGATGCTCAACTGACTGAGCCACCCAGGTGCCCCGTCTGTGTTTTTGATTATAGCCACCCTAGTGGATATGAAGTATCTTATGGTGGTTTCGATTTGATACTGAGCCTCTTTTCGTGTACTTATAATTCATTTATCTGTCTTCTTTAGTCCTTTGCCCATTTTTTAAAATTGGGTTCTTTGTATTTTTATTATTGAGTTGTTCTTTTTTTTATTTTTAATTTTTTTTGCATTAAAAAAAAAAAACTTGTTGCTTTTGATGGATAAAGCACAATGATAACCCAGCCTGGTGGCCCAGCAGAGCCAGGGCTGTCTTCCTTGGAGGTGGCTATGGCCACCTCAGACTTAGTTGAGATCCTCACCTGATCCTCACGGAGCTTGTGGCTCCGTGTCCTCAGTGCATCTTTCAGGGTGCATGACTCCGAGTTCACCTGCCACTGCTGCCTGCGGCTCCAGGGACCTCTTCACTTCAAGGCCATGCCTCTCCTTTTTTTGACATGAGAAACCCTTTTCTTTCTTGTCACACATTCTTTTAACCCACTGAGAACTTGTTCGGAGAAAGTAGTGCTGAGACTCTATGGCTCCCCCTTCAGGGTCCTGGCCAGTATAGAGTAGAGGTGGGCCCTGCCCACTCTCACTGAGTGAGGCTCTTGTGATGTTAGCAGGCTCCCTAACCGCTGACATATCCAGCACGTACCCCTCTGGCCTCAGGTTGCTGATTCTCCCACCCTTGACCTTCTCAGGTGGATCCATACCTTGCAGCTTTTTCCAGCTTAGAGATGGCGGTGAGATGGGGAGATGGTTCCTTCTTGAGTATCCCCTTGCCTGTGCCCAGTCGGAATTTAGGTTGTCTATTCCCTATTATTCTGCCTATCAAGGCCACTTGACACCTGTGCCTCAAGGTCTCCTGTGAATGCCCTGCTGTGTTGAGTTCTCCACTCCTTGCCACACAGACGGGTCAGAAATACACATAGAGAAGGTGCTAGAGTATGGGGTGGCCTGGCCTCAGTACCCCCGGACCATACTCTTGGCCCCTTGCCCAGGGTGGGTAGGTGGGTGGGTGGGAGTTTACCCTGAATTCAGACAGTGAGGTCTCTGCACCGGCTGGAGTGTCCCCCTTTCTGCAGGGACCTATGGACTAAGCAATGCACTGCTGGAGACACCCTGGAGGAAGCTGTGCTTTGGAAAACAGCTCTTCCTGGAGGCCGTGGAGCGGAGCCAGGAGCTGCCCAAGGATGCCCTCATCGCCCAGCTCCTACACGTGCTCAACAATGATGAGGCGTGAGTGGGCAGGTCCAGCTGGGGCAATCAGAGCATCCCTCTTCTGCCCTAGCCCTGGACATAGAGTCAGGCAGGCTCTCCTGTCCTGGGAGGCTCATGGAAGGGACTGGGACACGTTCCTCACCCTGGGGTAGCCTGTACGGACACACTGTTCTTTGCTCCTCTCCTACCTGCTCCCCTCCTGGGCCACTGCACTTGGAAGCTCAGTGCTCTCAGAGGCTTGATGCAGGCCTTTGTGGGACAGAGAGTAGCTGGAGGTTCCCTGCGTCCGCACACAGCTACTGGGAGATTGTAGAAAGCTCCCCAGTAGTTCGCAAACCACAGAAACAAGCAGACGACCTAGGAGTATGTCATGAAGTTAACTGTCCTTTCAACATGCTGTCCTATCAGTGCTGTGGCACAGACATGCCTGTCCCAGGAATTGCCTGGGGGAAAGTTGCCCCTGACCTGACTTCCTTCAGGCACTTCAGTGGCCTCTGCACAGGGCACCTGCCCTAGGGACACCACCCTCTGGTGTGTCTTGACCATCAGCTGGGGGTCAGAGGTGCTGGCAAGCTACCTTCCTTCCATTCAGTAATGTGGCCCATACTCAGGCCAGGCCACTATCCTGCCCAGATGCCCCGTAGCCCCTCAGAGGAGCCTCCACGGGCTGCCTCCCACTCTTCTCTCCTGGGACCCTCCTGGCCCCTTGCTTACTTTCCGTCTCTTCTCCAAACCACGAACCACGGCTCCTTCTGCTTCAGCACAGCCGCCCCTCAGGAAAGTCCTACTTGGGCTGGCCCAGCATCCTATGCTCAGCTGCAAGTCCACGTGGCCCTTGGTCACTGTCTGCCATCCCCTCTGGCCTGAAATGGGGTCCTGGCTGCCTGGATTGACAGCTGTGGTCCCAGCACCAGCTTCAGTGGCTGGTAAGCCACAGGGCTTGAATGGGCTCCTGTCACATGGAGGGATGCCCGTGGGGTACCTCTTGGAGTAGGCAGGGAGTGTGTGGGGCCAGTGACTCCCTCAGCCAGGCCCCCACCCCTAGCACCCCAACCACTCAAACCTCACCAAGACAGGAAGGTGAGTTTGCTCCAGGAGATGGCTTCTGTCCTTCCTGTGGGTGGCCCTGTACAGCTCTGACTAGATGGACCCCTGCCATTTGCAGATTCATCAGAGCCTTCCCCAGTGCTCAGCTCACAGGTGCTCATGTCCCTGGGTCCTAGGGAAGGCTCCTGGTGGTTCTGGAAGGGGGACTGACCCGGCAATCACTATCTGGCAGCCGGGGCTCAATGATGGAGTCCTGAATAAAAAATTGGGACTGAGATTTGAGGCCTTCAGCAGGAAAGTGCACAGAACAGCCCTCATGGATTCCCCAACCACTTCGTGAAGCTGGTGGGCTCCTTAGGCACCGCAGGCTTTGAGGACATCAGGAGGGGCTGCAGGTTGGGTGGGTGGAGGCAATGGTGACCCCTCCTCTTTCCTTCCAGGCAGCTGCCAGATCCAGCTATTGAGGACCAGGGCAGGGAGTATGTGCAGCCCTTTCTGAGCAAGTACGCAGCTGTGTGTGTGCGCTGCCCAGGCTATGGCACCAGGTACGAGGGGCTGCTGGGTGTGTTCAGTCCTGTCCCATGAGGAACCCGGCCTTCCCTCAACTCTATGGATCCCAGAGCCTCTGCCCTGTCTAAAAGCAGGTGCTATTTCAGCTTGGGGGGTTGTGGGGCCAGCAGATACCACATTAGTTAATGTTAGCATGAAATGCCTGCTGGCTCCCATGGGTGCTGCAAGAATGGTTCCTGGGCTGTTTCCTGCTCCCTACACAGCCATAGGGGAGCTGGGATGGCTACGGGCACCCTTGGGTTGGCAAATCCCTGTGGGCGCAGAGGTCCCACTGCCCGGCACTTCCCCTCACTCGCCCTATGTCCTTGAGCCTGTCACATTCCCTGTGTGACCAGGGCAGGGATTATTAGGTCATCTCAGCCTGGGGACATCACCTAATAGAAGGGCAACTACTAGTCTCAGCTGCAAGGAGAGAATGCCTGGGAGGGAGGAGCTGTTGGCATCAGTGTCTCCTGTGCCAACAAGTTCCTTCCCTGTCTCTCCCTCCTGGGCAGAGGAAGATTGGCTCTGTGTGTGTCAGGGAGGCCCAGTCCACCCATGTGGTTCTGCCCAGGGTAGCCCATATGCTATACTTGGACCTGCCTGGGAAGTACAGAAGAGGATAGGCTTCTGGACCAGCCAGGATGCTCCAGGAGCGCGCACCTGGCCCACCTGGCCTATAGGCCGACTGTAGCCGTGTGCACAGCCACATCTGCCTGGACTTGGCTTACACCAGGCCCCGTGGGTACCAGCCTCCTTCCAGGCTGGAAGCTTGCTGTGACTATGATGGATAGGCCAAGCTCTTGGGGGCCCACAGCCGTAAGGACTCAGGGATGGGGTGCTTGGGTGGTGGCAAGTGCTGAGTGATACCAGGGTGATGTCACATGTACTCTGAGTGCATGGTGATGTTGCAAGTATGCTTGGTGTTCGGGTTCAGGTCAGCCCAAGTCTTCCATCCTCTAGGAAACGACAACTTCAAGCCCTCTAGCTGGGGGATAGGATGGTAGGCAGGGTCAGGGTGGTGTCAATGTCCAGCACTGATGCTCCAGCACCCGAGTGCTATAGACTTGAATGGTGGTCTTTCCATTGGGCAGGCTTTTCCCTTGGCAAGTGGCAGGGCATCAGTTTTTTTCAAGCTTGTCCTCTGTCATAGACTTATTTTCTTATTTTCCTGCTCACGTGTACTCATGTGCATGAGGCAGAGTGCCAGGTCTGCTCCCTGGCTGAGTGTGTGGCTGCTGGGTCCAGCTGCAGCTGGACCAGTCTTCAGCATGTGTGTGCCCATCCTGGGTGTTGGCCTGTGCTCGGCTGCTCAGGGACCTGGTGCCTGCCCTCTGTCAGGGGGAGACAGGTGCTGACTAAGTGAGGTATGGCCTTGGGGAGGGCTGGCAGGAGGAGAGAAGGTGCACTGAGCATTTGGGATGGGTAGTGGGGAAGGAGGACAGGAGAGAGTTCCCGGTGACTGAGGCCTCATTTGGGGCTCTGACAGGCAGGCAGGAGGCTGAGGGCAGAGGGCTAAACGTGGGCCCCTTGCTCTCTTTCAGAACCAACACAGTCATCCTCGTGGACGCGGACGGGCATGTGACCTTCACAGAACGTAGCATGCTGGACAAGGACCCCTCCTGCTGGGAGACCAGCACCCACGAGTTCAAGCTGCAGAGCTAACCCTTCCCCCTGGATGTGGCCACTGGGCTCCAGGAAGGCCCTGCCTCAAGGGCTAGTATGGATAGGAACTATCACATGTACTGCCTGTGACTTGGCCAGCATCCCCCAGGACCAGGGTCCTCTGGTGTTTGTGTGACCTGTCTGTGTTGTCATGTCCAGCTCAGGGTCCACCCTCATGCCAGTGGGAGTGAGAGAGTCACATGGCCAGGTCTGAGGGGGGCTCAGGTGTGCTATGCATGTGTGAAGGCACCTGGGCCTACCCCCTGCCCAAACACAGAGGCACATACTCAAGGCACATGTTTCCACGCATACCTGCAGGTGCATGGTCACACACACACACGCACATGCACATATGAGCAACAGAGAGGTACACACACACACTCCCAGGCATACCCACACATGCGTGCCACACAGGCAGAGGTGTGCCTCTCACATCCACATGTGCTTCTGGCTAGTGGGTCTTTGCTTTGACCAAAACAACAGGAGTAGACTGTTGTTTAAGAGTGGCTCCTTTCCTGGGTGTAGTCCACTTCTGGACAACCAGACTTGCTCTTAGAGAGGAGAGGCCCCATTTGGAATGAGAAATGAGAACAACTCCAGAAGAACCTGCTTTCATAACAGAAGCACCGCCTGGTTGGTTGTCCTTTGTGCTCTGGGGGATCTCCTATGTGCATGGGGTGGTCCTGTGGGGGAGGGGAGCGGTCTTGCATGCACCAGGGGTCCTGTGTATGCTGAAACACCTTGCCAGGCTCTCATGCACCTACTTGTCTGCCCACTGGGGTCATGGGTCCTGAGCAGGCTCATCTCAGCAATGGGACACAGCCAGCCCTTTCTATTTCCCTTCTCCTTGGGGAGTCGGACTTCATAGGAATCTGTCCTTGAACGTGAGACCTTGATAATAAAACTCTGAGGTGTGGTGAGTCCGTGCATTTCAGATCCTTGTGTGATGGGGGGACAGCTGTGCAGGGGATCAGTGGGGTTGCTCTCCTGGCCTGCAGGAGCTGCCAAGACATTTTCTTCAGAAGGAGCCTCTTCCCACTTTCTTCTTTTGCTCATGGGTTCCTGAGCATCATGATGGAAACCTGAGGGTCCGTTGACCTGTCCATCCATCTGTCCTTGGGCAGAGGCTGGGGTCTGAGAGAGCTTGTGTGTATGGGACACGGTAGGTACCAGATACAGGGCCTCCTGAGCTGGGCTGAGGAACCAGGGACTCATCTGGGTGAAGAGGAACCTCCTGAGAGTATAGTGTGATCAAGCCTGCACTTGGGGTGGACTGTGGAGGCCAGGGGATGGTAGGAAGGAGTGGGTTTCAGGGCAAGAGGACAAGTGGAGTGTCTCTTAACCCCAGGATCCTGGTTTTGGACAAGCACTTGGGAATTCTTGTCCCTGGCCCCAGCTGAGCATCAAGGAGTCCCACGTGTGTCCAGTGCTGAGACCCAGGCTTCCATTGCCTTTGCAGCTGACCCCCAACTTGGCCTTTTCAGAGCCAATGAGAGCTTGGGGTAGGGTGTGGACCTGCACTGGGTCCTACTTGCCTCCTCAACCCTTCCCTCTTACCACCTCAAGCACCCCTCAGGGGCCCAATGTCCTCCTTGGCTCATTTTGAACTCAGAGGAAAAGTGTCTGAGCATGGTCAAGTTTGAATGGGATCCCCAGCAGCAGCATAGCCCATGCCTGCAGGCCCAGGGGTAAACTGGCCCCAAGTCCCACGTTTGCTGGTTGAGCCGTACTGAGCCAGGCTCCTAGCCTGGGTACTGCTGATGCCCTTTGTCTGCCTCAGTGGGCCATGCCACATCATGGACCAGTGATCCACACCAGCACTCACCCTGGCCAGGCGTGTCGGCCCTCATGGGGCACCACTGGGCTGGTGCAAAGCCATCTGAAGACTTTCCTAGTTGTTTGCCTGTACCCAAGGACAGGGCCTGCATGGGATACTCCTGCCCTCAGCCTGTCCTGAGCTCCCCAAGGGCCTGAGCCCTCTGAAGATAGGGCAGCCCAAGATGTAGTTATATCATTATGGGTTGAGTTGTGTGCCCCCTGAAAGATCTGTTGGTGTCCTAGTGCCCGTGCCTCAGAATGTGACCTTTATTAGGGTCTTTACAGAAGTAATCAAGATAAAATGAAGTCATTAGGGTGGGCCCTAATCCATTATGACTGATGTCCGTATCAAAAAGGGAAAATTTGGACACAGGGACAGACATGCATGCAGGCAGAATGGCCTATAAAGATGAGCTATGCTGTGTCATGCTAAGAAACTACCAGAAGCTGAGAGAGACCTGGAACAGATCCTTCCCTGGTGCCTTCCAAGGGAGCGTGGCCCTGCTGACACCTTAATCTCAGACTTCTGGCCTCCAGAACTGTGAGACAATAAATTTCTGTGGTTTAAGCCACTCATTTGTGGTACTTTGTTATGGCACTCTAGCAAACTAATGCAATTGTGACCTTCGCTCTACAGATGAGGAAATTGAAGCTTGGGGAGATACCATAATAGTGTGTCAGTCCCCTGGCAGGTGGGAAGGCAGAGTCATGAGGCCAGGAAGGAGCAGGATGAGGACAAGGTACATCCTGGGGTGTCTTCCCTTGGGCCATGGCCCTCCCATGTTGGTCTCATCTGCTGCTCTGCACCACCCCCATCACCTCACTTACCTTGCCCTTGCCCCTGCCCCTGCCCCCACCCTTGGCCATGCTTTCTGCACTTGCTGTCCCTTCTGGTTGAAGAACTCTTCTGCCCCTATATCCAAACCACACTCTCCCTCACATCGTGCAACTCTTTGGTAAAGTCTTGGGAGGCATCCCATCTAAAGTTGCAATCTGCCTTGCCTTGGTCCCTGCTCTATTTTCTATAGTGGTTAGCACTGTAACATGCTATACATTTTGCTTGATTGTTTCTTGAATGCCTCCCTGTCAGAATGAGAGCTCCAGGAAGGCAAGGCCTTTCCTCTTTTGCCCATCACTGTATCCTCATGCTCAGTCCAAGTAGACATTTGAGCCAAGTATGATATTGCTGGCACTTCCCAAACTGCCATTCATTTAGGCCTTGAAGTGAGACCCTTTTGCAGTTAGAAGGGACCCTAGGAAACTATCCCTTCTAGAAGTGCTTTTGACATGCCACACGGAAGGCTTGGACCTGACCTTGGCATAGCTTAGCTAGTCCTCTCTGCTCATCACCAGATGCATCAGATCCCTGAGTCCCCTGTATGGGTCCTCTTTTCCTAGATGGATGGGGAATTCACTGCCTCTTCAGATGCCCCTTCCTAGATGAGCTGCTTCTGCTCTCTAGCTCTGAACAGCCAGTTGAGGTATGTTGGCATGGAGTCTGAGGTGTGGAGCTGACCAATATGGAAGCCAAATCTGTGAGTAAACAAGACCAGTCCAGGAATGCAGCTTGGCCTTGGGGCTTGTCTTGGCAGGTTTGAGCTGCTGGCCTTCTACCTGCAGAGACACCCTCCCATCCCTCTCCCTCCCCCCACAACCCTTCCTCTGCCCCCCACCAACACCTGGTTTTTTGGTCTCATCTGCCAGCAGATAGCATCATCTAGGCTCTTTAGGAGATACCTGGCTCATGGGTGAGTTGGGCTCAGGTGGAAACAGGAACCCAGAGAGAAAAGTTTCCTCCCACAGCTTGGGCTAGAGTTCCAGCTTCTAGGCATCCATCTGAGGATGGAGTCAGATGGAGACTGTGGGAAGCCAGCTGTAGTGTGTTTGAGGTCTCAAGGCTGAGGCAACTTGCTAAGCAAATGACAAAAGTGTGGAGAGGTTGCTAAGGCTGGATGGTGCCATGCCAATGGTTCCTATGAGCTCTGACCACTGGGCCAGGGCCATCAGCTTGCCCAGCCACAGGGAAGCTGGCCTCCCTTGGCCAAGTCCAGGAGCCAGAACCTCATGGGGCTCGTTCACATTTTATTGTGAAGTAGCTTGTGCTAACCACTGGAGCAGCCAGGTGAACAGAAAAGGGGTAGGAAGGGACGGATGAGCCTGGGTAGGCCTCTAGCTTCCTCACCTGCAATACTCTCTCTCACCACCTTTTTGTTTTTGTTTTTCAAGTTTATTTTTTAGTAATCTCTACATCCCACATGGGGCTTGAACTCACAACCCTGAGATCAAGAGTCACATGCTCTTCTAACTGAGCCAGTCAGGTGCCCCTTTCCCTACCTTTTAAAATATTTTCATTTTGAAATGATTTCAACTTAACTAAAACCTTGAAAAAATAGAACAAAATATTCCAGTGTCCTTCACCCCAGTCCCCCAACTATTAACACCCTATCACTAGCTCTAGTAATATGATTACGACCAGGAAATTAGTGTTGATATAATACCACCAGCTACCACCTACTTTGAATTTTTTTGTTTTTAATTTGAGAGAGAGGAGAGAGAGAGAGAGGGAGGGAGAGGGAGAGAGAGAGAAAGGGCAGAGGGAGAGGAAGAGAATCTTAAGCAGGATCCACCCTGGGATCATGACCTGAGCTGAAATCAAGAGTCAAATGCTCAACAGACTGAGCCACCCGGGTGCCCCAGATCTTATTTGAATTTTACCGGTTGTTCCACTTATATCCCTTTCCTGAGTCAGGTTCCAATGCAGGGTCATGATCCCACATCACACTTAGTTGTGTCTCCTGTAATTGAAGACAGCTTCTCAGCGTATCTTTGACTTGAATGATCTTGACATGTGAAAAGCACCTGCCAATTTTTTTGTAGAATGTACCTCATTTGGGTCTGATCTTTCTTCATTCAGGTTTTGTCTTTTGGGTAGAAATAACCCACAAGTCAGTCATGCGTGTCCCTTCAAGAGGCCCACGATATGTCCCTTTGCTGGTGCTGACTTTTGTCTTTATTTTTATTGAGGTTTCATTAGTATACCACAGAAGGTACATTTTAAAAAATGTTTTATTTATTTTTGAGAGACAGAGAAAAAAATGCAAGTGGGGGAGGGGCAGAGAGAGAGGGAGACAGAATCTGAGGCAGGCTCCAGGCTCTGACTCTCAGCAGAGAGCCCTACCTGGGGCTTGAACCCACGAACCATGAGATCATGACCTGAGCTGAAATCCTAAGCTGAAGTCGGACTTAACGGACTGGGCTACCCAGGAGCCCTTAGAAGGTACATCTTTAAAGTGTAAATTTTATGTTTGGAAGTGTATACATTTGCTAGTGATCTCTTTCATTTGGCTAGGTGGTGTCTCAGGTTTTTCTCCATTGCAGTTACTATTTTACCTTTGAAATTAGTGTCTCGGGGAGAAACTTTGCAGCTCCGTAAAACAACAAAAAAAGTCCGTGCCAGTTCTCACCCTTTTGCCTATTTTTAGCATCCATGACTTTTGTCTGCAGGTTTGTGCAGGCTGCCAAAAGGGAGATGTTCTATTTCCATTTATTCACTGGAATTCTGGTCTAAGGATAAACTGTCTCTTCTCCCATTTTACTCATACCCTCCCTTTTCTTAAGTTTCTGAAACGGTGTGTGTTATTACCGAGTGGAAAAATGCCGGACAGTTTAGCATATGTCTTTTTGTTTTTTGTTTTTCCTAATGATTATGTTTAATGGTTTTAATTGGAGACGTGTAATGCCGGTCTGTGTACTGTGTCGTCCGCATTATCTAACAAAAAATTTTTAACGTCTATTTATCTTTGAGAGAAAGAGTGAAAGCGGGGGAAGGGCAGAGAGAGAGAGAGACACACACACACACACACACACACACAGAATCCTAAGCGGGGTCCAGGCTCAGAGCTGTCAGCATAGAGGTCCACGCGGGGCTCGAACCCACGAACCGTGAGATCATGACCTGAGCTGAAGTCCGAGGCTTAATCGACTCAGCCACCCAGGCGCCCCCATTTTTTTTTTCGAATGTTTTCCTCCGCAGGATCTGAAGCAGCTAGGCGCCCTGTGCTCCCGGCGCTTCCCGCGCTCTCCCGTTCCCGGCATCCTCTGTGCTCCTCCTTCCCCCGGCATTCCCTGCGCTTCCCGCGCTCTCCTGTTCCCGGCATTCCCCGCGCTCCCCGTTCCCGGCGCTCCTCGCGGCCACCGCCCTCCGCACGGCGAGCCCCGCCCAGGAGGCGACCGTTAGCGCGGCCGGGGCCTGAGCGCCTGGTTCCGCCCACGCGGCCGCGCTATTGGGCCTAGCGCCGTGGCCGCTAGCGCTGCGCTTCGCAGATTGGCAGCCTCCGCAGCCCGCTCGGCGGTCCCCCCAATGCGGGGTGGCCGCGCGCAGGGATTGGCTGCGAGCCGCCAAGGCCCTCCCTCTGCTCGCCCCGCGCGGCAGGCGGGTCCCGCCGACCGGAGAGAGCTTGGGCGGCCTTTCTAGATAGCGGTATCCGTGGCGGTAGCGGCCAGGCCGTGAGGGTCTCCCTGCTTTGGTCGGGCTGCGGGCAGCTCGGGCAGGCCGCGGGTGCTGGAGGTAGGTGCGGGGCGCGAGGGGCGCCCCGCGGGGTCGGGGCGGGCGCTGCGGCCTGCGCGAGGGCGCGCCCTTCCCCTCCCTCCTTCTCGGGCCGAGGGCTAAGGGCCCGGGCAGCGAGGCGGGGCGGGGCGGGAGGGCGCGAGGCGGGGCAGCCACGCGGAGTCCCAGCCTTTGTGAAGCATCATGGCCGCGGGCCTCAGAACGCGAGGCGGAGGTCCCGCCGTTGGGGGTGGAGGGGGGGCGGGCCCCAGGCCCAGGTGACGCCGACTCCGGTCGCTCTCCCGCGCGGGTAAACAGCCCGAATGAAAAGAGGCCCCTTGCCCTGTGGGCCCGAAGGTGTAGCGTCGCTTTCAGGCGGGAAAGGTATGAACAAGAGTAGTGTTCGCCCAGGACCCTGCCGGGTGTAACAGTTTGGGAAATCTGAAAAGTCGCCCAAGTCTTTTTCTCCACCAAATGCTCATGGATTGAGTGTCACGTAGATGGACGGATTGTGGTTGTGTTGTAACAATGGTCGTGGTAAAAATAAACGGAGCGGGGCAACCTGTTGATAGTGATACCTGTCAAGTATCATTCGATGGACTTGGGTTGCTCATGGTAGGAATTTGATTTGCTGTTCTGCATGCTTGCATGTACCTTGTTATCTGATGCACGGCAGTCCAGGCTAGGGCTGGTGACTGTGAGGACAACCACCAGATGGAGACCCTCTGTTTCCTGGCCGCAGACTGGACTCCCAGTCACGGGGCTTTTGGCAGACTGGCCCAAACCCTGCCGCAGGCTGTCACTCACCAAAGAGAGTGAATGGCCAGTCAGCGGTGCGCCTGTGAGTACAGGATGTGAGGTCTGTTAGAGGATGACAAAAGGAATGGATGAGGTCATACTGCTGCTGGGTTGGGCGGGAGGCTGCAGTGTGAGAGGCTTGACCGAAAGGCAGCAGCCCCAGCATTGTACATCATAGCTGCTGCCTCGATGGCCACCCCAGCAAGTGGACTTCAGTGAAGGGTGTTATCCAAGCCTGTTGGTTTTACCCTATGTGCCAGGGATCCAGGGGAGTCTGCTGCGAGTCTCCTGATGGCTCACAGTCCACTTGGCAAGCAAGGTTTACGTCCATGTGTTCAGTCAGCTGAAGCAGTAGTGGGGCCGATGGCAGGAGTCACTCTTTGAGCCCCTTTACGGCCAGGCACTCTGTAGGGCACTTCCTGGGGATGATTTTATAATCTGACCATGACCTTGGGGGTAGGAAGCCTGAATTTCACTGGTTTGCCTGGTCTTGGTCCCTCATAGTAGTTGCCCTCCCCTTTTTGGTGGTCTCATCCAGGTTCCTGGCATTAATGCCCTCTTCCTGACATCTCCCATTGCCTTCTCCAGCCCAGGTCTCCCTTCTGAGCTGCTGCCTCTTCCATGTCTCCATGTATTACTTTGATGTCAAGTAGCCATGTCCAAAAACCAAACCCTGATCTTCACCCACCCCACAACATTTCTCATGCTGCCTTCATCTCCTCAATGCATGACAGCTTTGTTCTTGAGTTTAGAGTCACCTGGATTCCTCTCTTAGGCTTCCGTGCAACACTCAGGACCATTTCTTAACACCTCCAGCTTATCATGCTACTCTGAACTGCCTGGTGAGCCTCTTAGTTCTTCTCTTTGGTCTCACCCTTGCTCTTCCCTCTACTCACCCATGGTAGTTTTTCTGGACACAGAATGGTACTTTTAAACTGTAAGATAGTGTAAAACCAAGGAAGTGAGGAGGGGAGCCACCTAGCCTGGGTGGTAAAGCAGCTTCACTACTTTCTAGCTGTGTGACCTTGAGCAAGTTGCTTAACCTGTCTTTAACCTCTCTCCGTGCTTTGTGAGAATGCCTAACACTCTTAGAACAGGGCCTGGCTGAGGGTTGGCTGCCACTGCTGTCCTTGGATCATGTGACCTCACTGCTTGGACCCTCCTGTCCAGTAGCCCATCTCTCAAGATAAGGGCTACAGTTCTTGTCTCACTCCACCCTTCAGCACACTGCTTTTACCTGCACTTCTGCCCCAGGGCCTTTGTTCTTCTCTGTTACCTGGAACATCCCCTCCTCCCACCCACCTAGCTCACTCTCTTCTGCCTACAGATGGACTCTGGCTGTGCAGCCTTCAGTCTGCCCTTTCTGAAACTGCTTCCCCTCCCCCAACTCCTTGCTTTGTTTTCTCTGGAATACTTCTCACCTTTTCTTGGTTGTTTGTCCATCTCTCCTGCTAAAATGTGAGCTCTGTGGGGCAGAGATTTTGTCCATTGTGTCCTTAGCATCTAGAATGGTTACATGTGCCACATGGAAAGCATTCAGGAAACACTTGTTGAATGAGTAGAACAAGCTTACTAGAGGAAAGTAAGGAACTTACCCAAGACTGCTCCATTGTGAGCTCTGAACCTTGAGCTGCTGCCCGCCCCCTCCCTCCCCCCCCCCCCCCCAGGGCTGGGCAGGCTTTCCTGATCTCCCAGGGAGAAAGAACGGTCTCTTTCTCTACAGCTCTCTGACTCCACCTTCTGTACGTCTTCCAGGGTCATTATCATCTTTGCTTTGTGCTTTGATCCTGGCAGCTGCTTGGCCTTATAACATGGTGGCAGGTGTCCTCGTCCTGTACCACCCATTGTTTTCAACACCCCTCCCCCCGCCATTTTCAGCCCCGAGAAGCACAGATTGGTTCTTGATCTGTGTTCTGTAGTACTGAACATGCTGACCTGTCTGTCCTTCTCTGAAATGATCTTTGTTGGTTGCCAGGAGACTGGCCTTATTACACTTGGTGCTCCTCCTGCCTGTTCGGTTGTAGCCTCCTTAGTGTTTACCGCAGGTCTGTGTCTTGTTATCCACATGCTGTATTCCCTTGATCTTTAGCACCTTTAACAGATACACCTTTGGGGGAAGTATCATTAAATTTCCATTGAATTCAGAAATGTAAGGACATCTTGGAATGTAGGAAACAAGAGTGACAGCTCAGTGGTCATGGCCCTTCCAACTGCATCCAGGCGGTGGGGACCTTGTTTCTTGTTCGTGGTAGTACATCCCTTAGAGTAGATGGCCAGTGAATATTGATTGAATGAATTAATTAAATCTGAACAAATCTCTGGTTTTTACGTTGTATCACCTTGAAACTACAACCACCACGCTCTAGTCCTTCACTGTAAACTTCTTAAATGTGTGATGTCTGCTGTCTTCTGTTCTATCTGTGCAGCCAGTCAAGCTGCCCTGGGTGGGCATGGGCATGCATGTGCATATCTGCACCCATATGCATGGCATGTTCATGCGTGTGTGTGTCAGCATGGCGTGGGAGTGTGTGTGCATACACATTTGCGTCTGCACGTGCTTCTCCTGCTTTGATGTCTGGCCCTCCCGCGGACCTCTGGGTTTTTGGATTGTCCCTCTGACCTGCCTTTTCATGTCATCCGTTTTGTTGTCCTTTCTCTGAAGGGAAGCTTCCCAGAGTGGCATCCTCAACCCTCTTCTTGGTCTGTGTTGCTTCTCTGGGCAGCCTCTCTCCTGTGATTTTGGCAACTACCACCTCGCTGATGTGTTCTGTCTGGCCTTCTGTTTCTGGGCCAGTCACAGTTGCAGAGCTGCCTCCTCAGACCTGTTGGACAGGTCTGCCTGGAGGCTCCGTCTATTCTCCTCTGCAGGCTTCTGCCTGAATACTGGAACACGGGGGACCCTCCAGGGGAGAAGCCTCATTCACCTTCAGTTCCCTCTTGTCTCTGCTCTCCACCTCTGCACGGTCAGCAGTGTGGTCAGTTCTGTGTCTTCACTGTTCTTGAGGGCTCCAGCCCTGTCAGCAGAGCCTCTTTCACACCTTTGTCCTCTGGCTTGGAGGACTGCCTTGTATGCCTTGGGCATAGGCACTGGGCCTGGCACAGCAGTCAGTCCCCTTTTTCAAATAGGGATTGAGTTGTGGTGTGTGAATCACTTGACCCTTGGTGGCTCCTTATTGCCCCCAGGATGGAGCCAGGCCCCAGATGGCACCCAGGACTTCCTGTGCCTTGGCTCCAGCTGTCTCCTGAGGCTCCCCCGACCGACCCTGGCCAGGTTCCCTTCCCCACAGCCACCACCCCCTCCTCTACTGGGAACAGAACCATGCCACCTCTGGCGACCTCAGCACGCTGCATCACTGTCCCGGTCCACGTGCCACCTTGTGGGCCCAGGAGAGCCCTGGGGTCCCTGGGTAGCAGAGCGCCTGGCCGTATCTCTGAGGCCCTAGTGCCGCAGAGTTGAGCTGAGGGTCTCGCACTCGCACTCGCACTCGCCCTCTGACTGACCCAGCCCTAGCAGGTGAGTGGATCCATGTCGCTCTGATGGCCAGAGGGAGGCCACACACCTTATGTGTATTCTGGAAAGGGCAGCCTTGCACCGCGAGCTTGCTTACCTAATAAACTGAGTTAGGGGAATGCTGCGGTGAAGTTTAGCCTAGTTTTTTAAAATCTTTTTTGAGTGTTAAGATAATACTGTTTTTGTGCTTCTGAAGTAGGAATTACAGTGGACAATTAATATATTTAACTTTGGACTTAAATTATAATTTAGGTTTTGAAGGAAAAGCATAGAGCTAATTTGTTTCGAAGCCTAGAAGGTTCTCTAAGGCAGTAGTATTTTAAGTTCTTTACTACTCTGTTAATAGCACTTGGTTCTCAGTGCCAGTGAAGCAGAAGGTTTCTGTCATTTTGTGACGATGTTTTTAAATCTCTTTGCAGGTGGAAGAAGAAAGGTGCCACTTTGGCATGAAGACAGACTCGCTTAGTCGTCAGTCATTTAAGCTGAGTGCATTGTGATTTCCAATAATTGAGGCAGTGGTTCTAAAAGCTGTCTACATTAATGAAAAGAGCAATGTGGCCAGCTTGACTAAGCCGCCAGCGTGTGCAGCGCGGGCAGGACGGTACCCGGGTCTCAACGGACTTGTGCATGTTAGCTGTATAGATTTATGTAAGGTTTTTTAAAACTCTGGTCTTTTAAAATAGTCTTAACCACTTTTACTATGGAGACATATGAGAGTCCCTCTCCTCTCCCGCGTGAGCCCGCAGGAGAAGCAGTGATGGAGAACCGAGCTTGCCCCCTCCAAGCGCTGCCCCGTGAACAGTCTCCACCACCTCCCCTGCAAACGTCCAGTGATGCAGAGGTAATGGACGTTGGCTCTGGTGGTGATGGACAGGCCGAATCCCCTGCTGAGGACCCGCTCAACTTCTACGGAGCTTCTCTTCTCTCCAAAGGATCCTACTCTAAGGCCCGCCTCCTCATAGACCCGAACTGTAGTGGCCACAGCCCGCGCACCGCCCGGCACGCACCTGCGGTCCGGAAGTTCTCCCCTGACCTTAAGTTGCTTAAGGATGTAAAGATTAGCGTGAGCTTTACCGAGAGCTGCAGGAGTAAGGACAGGAAGGTGCTGTACACAGGAGTGGAGCGCGACGCTCGCGCAGATTGCGGTCTGGCCCTTAGCCCTGTCAGTGGAGACGTGCATGCTTGTCCTTTTGGCGGGAGTGTTGGGAACGGGGTAGGCGTAGGGGGTGAGAGTGCTGATAAGAAGGATGAGGAGAATGAGCTGGATCAGGAAAAGAGAGTGGAGTACGCAGTGCTCGATGAGTTAGAAGATTTTACTGACAATTTGGAGCTAGATGAAGAAGGAGCAGGCGGGTTCACGGCTAAAGCAATCGTGCAGAGAGACAGAGTGGATGAAGAGGCCTTGAACTTCTCCTATGAGGTATGTCGGCGACCCCTCCTTTGGAGCACTCTTAGCAAAACCCAAAGAGAGGTGTTGGGAACTGCAGCATCTTTTGAAAGCTGATGTTGCAGAGAAAAAAACAAAAACAAAAACCCGTGTGAGGTGGAATGACGTTAATGTGGAAAAGAAAAAGCCGTAAGAAGTCCAGGTTTTTAAGTTTTCCAAAGGTTTGGCTGAGCAGTCGACCTTGTACTCTATGCAACCTGAGTTGGAAGGTGCTGCTGAGAAGCACTTCCTGGTGGGATGTGTACCTGTATCAAGCATCAAGCATGTTGGTTGCAGTTGTCAGTTTCATCCTGTTTGTTTTTCAGATGATCACGCAACATAAAGGCATACCGAGGCCCCACTTGGGAGTGCCTCATTTCTGTGTCTGTTCTCACTAATGCTGTTAAATTTGCCTACGGTACAGGAACGCGGGCTCCGGGGGCCATGGTGTCTGAACAGCATGTTTTGCAGGATGATTTTGACAACGATGTCGATGCTTTGCTGGAAGAGGGCCTTTGTGCTCCCAAAAAGAGGCGAATGGAAGAGAAATATGGAGGAGACAGTGACCATCCGTCTGATGGAGAGACAAGTGTGCAGCCAATGATGACCAAGATTAAAACAGTGCTAAAAAGTAAGTCAGCCGGTTAGAAAGTAGTGTGTTTGCGGGACAGCAGAAGTGTAGGTTTGAGAGCCCTCGGGTGCCAGGTGGTGGTCTGGGCAGTGGGCACTTATTTGATGGAGGACGGCCATGTCTGATGAAGGGGAAACAGATAAGACACAAGGATGTAACATGACAACCCAGGGGCAGGTTGGGGTGTCTGCTGTGGATACACACCACAGAGTGGCTGGTGTTGTGGAGAGGAATGGGGAGGGCACTTCTGATGGGGTGAGGAGGAGGGAATGTTGTATGCTGGGAGATGACAAGATAGGCAACTAGAGGGTGTGGAGGCTGAGGCCAGAGGCAGGTACAGCACCACGGCAGGGGATGGTTGCAGTCTGGGTTCTGGATTCAGTAGAGGCAAAGGTATTCCGAAGCCGCACTTGGTTTTTGGGGGTGGTGGAGGGAGTTGGGAGGCACCCAGTGACATGCTTGTGCTGCTGCTTTGCCAGTGTGGTATAGGTATAAGAGAAGTCGGTGTCAGTTTCTAGCTTTCCTGGCCTGGAGGTACCTGTGAGTTCCAGGTGGAGATTAGGCAGTGGAAAGGGGCTGAACAGATGAGTGGGGACTTGGGCACATAGTTGAGACCTTAGGCTGGGGGCCGGGTTGCAGAAAGTGGCCTGGTGTGATGGGAGGAAATTGAGGGGTCGGTGGTGTCTTGTCTCTGACTACAGAGTGGACGTGTCAGCAGTGCTGGCTGCTGGCACGTGTCTGCCTGGGTTAGCTAGTGGTTGGAACAGGATGGATGTTGGGTTTATCAGCTGTAGATGGGGATAAGCCTAGGGCCTCAGCTTCTGGGAAGAAGGGGTGTGGGGGCAGTCTTTACTTCGGTGCCTCCGGAGATTTGCTTTGTACTCTTTCTGTGGTTTCAGCAATCTGAGCAGACAAAGTCCTGTTCATCTGAGTGGCCCACAGGTTCACAATATGCCTGTGACTGCAGGCATGCCACTTGGCCTGCCTGCACTGGGCAGTCCTGTACCTTTCTCTCTGCAGCCTTCTCCACCTCACCCACCTGGCAGCCTGCCCCATAGTGCAGCCTCCCAGGAGCTGCAGCATGGGCCTCATGCTCACAGGCGGCGTGTGAGCTGCATGTGAGCTCTTCAGATGGCTGGGCCAACTTTATGACTGCTGGTTGTCACATATGAGTGATCCAGGTGCACCTGCCAGTAGTGCCATGTATTGCCATGTTCTGGTATCAGCTCAGGGGTTAGCACTGCCGGGTGGGGACCTGGCACTGGGATACCACTCCCTTTACCATGAGAGTCCCTGGTGCCATTTTATTGTATGTATATTTTTTAGATTTCATTTGCTTTTTTCCTTTTGTTTCTAAATTTCTTACTTGCACCCAGTACCTGTAAGATAATTAAGTTTCCGTTGAATCTTTGTGCTTTTCCCAGTAACCAGGCCTGTCAGTGGCAGATGTCAAGTGGGTAACAAGTCTTGAGTCTTTTTCTATGACTGCATGTTTACATGCTTTAGCAAGAACTGATTTAGAAATTTATGAATTGTGTTTCACATGCTAGTGAGAGCATGCAGCTTAGGTACAATGAAGGCATGTTATCCAGTCACAGGGAGCAGTGGTCGACAGACATGTAATTTATTAGCAAAGCTAACCCAGTCCCTGGGGTGCCTCTGGCCACAGCCAAGGCAGGCAGTGAGGAATTAATGCCCTTGATGCCCACAGCTGTGCAGGCAGCAGCTGAGGCTATGACTTGTGTCTTATAGAATCTCATCCCAGGCTCTTTCATGCACCACATGCTGTTCTAGGTCTAAGAGTACAGCAGTGAACAAGGTGGACAGCTTCCTGTGTTGAGGAGGAACTTAGGTTCTATGGGTTAGAGCTATGTAAACACAACAATTGAGAGCAGAGTTTCATGCATAGGAGGTGCTGAGCAGCAGATGGGGCTGGGACAGGCTCTGAGGAGGGCAGGGTACTCCCCTACTCTCCTAGTTCTTAGAGGTTTTTTTCAATACTTGGTTGGCTTTACTGTTCTCATCTGCTTGTAATTTTGAAGACTTCCATAACTCGGAGAGTTTTTGAAGTGATTGTGGGATGTTCTTGTCTTTATGTAGGTCGTGGCCGTCCTCCTACGGAACCGTTGCCTGATGGATGGATCATGACATTCCATAACTCTGGAGTCCCCGTGTACCTACACAGAGAGTCTCGGGTGGTCACCTGGTCCAGGCCGTACTTCCTGGGAACGGGAAGCATACGGGTAGGGGATGCATCAGTCATGAATTTAGTCTTGTAAGTTTGCAGACTGAACACACACACGTTGCACTTGCATCGTAGCCAAGCAGAGGCAGGTGGAAGGCATCGGATGTTCAGACCTTTGGGGTCATCCTTGTAATCTGTGTTGCAATTTCACTATCCGCAGAAACATGATCCTCCTCTGAGTAGCATTCCCTGTCTGCATTATAAGAAAATGAAGGATAATGAGGAAAGAGAGCAAAGCAGTGAGCTTGCCCCCAGTGGGGAAGTGTCCCCTGTCAAGCCGCTGAGCCGATCTGCAGAGCTGGAGTTCCCCCTGGAAGAGCCTGACTCCATGGGAGCTGACTCAGGGCCCCCTGATGAGAAGGACCCGCTGGGGGCTGAGGCTGCCCCTGGGGCCCTGGGGCAGGTGAAGGCAAAGGTCGAGGTGTGCAAGGATGAATCAGTTGGTAAGTTTCCTTCCTTCCTTGTTGGTTGGGACCCATCTGCAGGGATGTGGCTATATTCCACGCCTTCCCTTCAATTACATTCCTACTGCTGAAGGCCACTTGTTCCTAGTTATGTTTGTGAGAAAGGGGCTTCTGGGGACCTGTGTCCACTCTTATGTGGCTAGAAAGGTGCGTCTCCCTGATCTTAGAACCCACCTGGTCTGCAGGCCCCACATGGCCAGTGCTGCCACAGAGGTGGCTACAGTCAGTGCAGATCGGCCTTTTTCTCCAGTCACTTTTGTGACCTTTCCTGAAATTCTGGTTTTTCAGCAGGATGTGCTCTCCTGGCATTGTTTTGATTTACCTTGATGGGCTCAGAGTGAGCTTCATCAATCCATGGACTCAGCACTGGGGGATGACCACTATTCTGTGGACATTTCCTGCTTCAATCCCACTATTGTTTTTGGCTGTGTTGGTGTTTCTCTTCTTTTTTTGTGTGTTTTTTAGCCTAGGCCTCCCCATTCAGTTTCTTTTTTTTTTTTAATGTTTATTTTTGAGAGAGAGAGAGAGAGAGAGAGACAAAGTGAGAATGGGGAAGAGGGAGAGAGAGAAGGAGACATAGAATCCGAAGGAGGCTCCAGGCCCTGAGCTGTCAGTGTAGAGCCTGACGTGGGGCTCGAACTCACGAACTGAGAGATCATGACCTGAGCCAAAGTTGGCCGTTCAACCAACTGAGCCACTTAGGCGCCCCTAGGCTTCCTCATTCAACTCTTAGTTTGTCTCTATAGTGGTGGCAGATCTGTTTCAGCCCACCTGCTGAATCTCATTTCAAGGAGGACTTTGTGTTTTTGAGGATTTTTGGTAATTGCTGTTTGGATATTGTCAGTATTGCTGCCCAGCCTGTCTTGTAACTCTTATGTATGAGGAGCCTAGAAGAGCTGGGGTCAGGGGAGCACCACTGCTGAAGAAGGGGAGGGTGTCTCCGAGAGGGGTGGCCTCTGTGGAGAGAGGTGTCTGGGGAAAGGCAGGGTGTGTCACTAGCCCCCAGCTTCCCCAGTGGACAGACTGCGTTCTCCCCACACCTGCCTGCTTGCTGTCTCCCTCCTTATCCACGTCAGCCTCCCCTGTCTTCTGTCCGGGTGCTGGAGCTTTTCTCAGGACCTGGCTGAAGGGAGCTTTTGCTTTCAGCCTTTATCATAGAGGTTTTTTTCTTCATACTATCTTTTAGGCACACATAACACCTGAATGTGTTCCTGTTTTTTTGAAAACACCTGCCTTTCATTTCTAATTTCATTCTCATGGGAGAGGTTGACCACTTGTACTTGTTGGCAGACTCACTTCCCTGCATTCACATGTAAAGAAATATGTGGTTTTGGTGCATAATTAAGTAGGTGCAGGTACGTTGTTTCACAGCTTTGTGTTTTAATTGTATATTCCTCAGTCTTCACACATGGAACTCCTCCCTCCGCTTCCACCAGCACTGCTCTCTGGGCTGGCCATGAGCCATGACAGTCCCTGCCTCAGGGCTTACACTTGAGTAAGAAACCAGTTAGGCTGACATGATTCTCTAGGATGTCCTGGGAAGGAGAGGGGTAGTGGGTGCAACAGTAAAAGCAGGAGGCCCCTGGGAACTTCACTGAGTGGGGTGGGTGGTGAACAGTGGGGATGGGCCAGGGACTGTGTGGGGCGAGGCATGACCAGTGCCAAGGCCCAAGCCACCTGCTTGTGTTGCTGAGTGTGCTTGGGGCCAGGGTGCCGGAGGGGAGAGTGCAAGGTGTGCACTGGGTGCATAGCGCTTTGGCTGCTGTGGTACCTGTTTTTTGTTTTTTGTTTTTTTAATTTTTTTTTCAACATTTATTTATTTTTGGGACAGAGAGAGACAGAGCATGAACGGGGGAGGGGCAGAGAGAGAGGGAGACACAGAATGGGAAACAGGCTCCAGGCTCTGAGCCATCAGCCCAGAGCCTGACGCGGGGCTCGAACTCACGGACCGCGAGATCGTGACCTGGCTGAAGTCGGACGCTTAACCGACTGCGCCACCCAGGCGCCCCAATGTGGTACCTGTTTTGATACAGGGAAAAAAGGCTTGAAGGCCATCTGATTTTTTGTTTTTAAAACTTTTCTTTTTCTCCTTTTTTCTTATTGTTCTTGTTCCAAATAAACTAAAAGAGCATCCTAGAGGTTTGTAACTTGAGTAATTTGAGGAGCTGCCAGAGTGAAGGGACCTGATCCTTTGCTTTCTTTGCTCTTTGAAAGGAAAAGTGAAAGAATGGGGATGGTGTGGTGGGACCTGTTTGATGGGCAGCCCGTTGCTGCCCTACTCAGTGGGCAGAGAAAATGTGACTCTTATGTTGGAAATTAGCAATTTTGTTCTCTGGTAAATCCGCACAGATCTTGAGGAATTTCGGAGCTACTTGGAAAAGCGTTTTGACTTTGAGCAAGTCACTGTGAAGAAATTCAGGACTTGGGCTGAGCGGCGGCAGTTTAACCGAGAAATGAAACGGAAACAGGCAGAGTCTGAGAGGCCCATCTTGCCAGCCAATCAAAAACTCATCACTCTGTCTGTGCAGGATGCACCCACAAAGAAAGGTGAGTTGGGGCTTGTAAATTTTATCATTGGCAGATTGATTATACTGTTGTTTTTCACTTGATGGTCTTAGAACATATGCTTTGTGTGTGAATTGCGTTTACTTCAAAGCTTATGTTTACCCTATGAATGCAGAGGTGCACTGTGTTCATGGTGGTGAGCCCCTAATTGTGAGTGAGTCGCTAACTTGGTGGTGCCAGGTCCCAAGTGCTAGCTTGCGGCAGGTCCTCATGCTGTTGCTGAGATAGGCCTTCTTGTCACAGAGTTTGTCATTAACCCCAACGGGAAGTCCGAGGTCTGCATCCTGCACGAGTACATGCAGCGAGTTCTCAAGGTCCGCCCTGTTTATAATTTCTTTGAATGTGGTAAGTTTGACCTCCCCCATCTCAACCCCGAAGAATCCTACACCTTGCTGGGGTCATGGCTGGGAGGCGGGAACTGACCATTAGCCCCACTCTTTGGGATAGGAGTGAAAAGGCAGGGCAGGGAGAAGGGCACTGCAGGTGGGCAGGTCATTTTCACAGTAGTGTGCCCCTTCTGAGGGCCAGTGCTTCTGCTTCCCCTTCCGTTATCCATGCTCCCTCCACCCCCACCTTCCGTTCATTCCTTGCTCCAAGGAAGGCCTCCCTTGCTGTGTTTCCACCTGCCCCCAGGTGGATGGAGTGGCCTTAGGCCTGCACTTCCCACCAGCTGTCTCCTGTGGCCATCCTCATCACGCCTTTGTGAAAACCAGTTTGTCCTTGGAAGTCTGAACCCAGGAGTCACTCATTATTTTTCATGTTGTTTCTTTGACTTAACTGCATCTGTGTGTCTCCGCTGCTCACAGCCCTCTGTCCATCTTTCATAGACATTGATCCCTATCCCGGCTTGGCCTCTGGCCTCCTGTTTCCCCTCCAGCTTCCGAACCCGTAGTCTCCCATTTCCCAAAATTTTCCTGGCATGCTCTTTGCCTGCTGACCAACCTTGGCCCTGTCTCCATGCCTCGGGAGCCCCTGTCTCTGCCCTCCAGCAGCAGCCCTGACCCTGCCTTGTCTTTTGGTGCCAGCAGATTGTATGTATACGTGCGTGCATGCTTTTAATGTCTTGGCAAGTGTTTTTAAAGCAATAATTTTAATTTTAAGAGAACCCAAGTGAGCCTTTTGGTGCCTCGGTGACCATTGATGGTGTGACCTATGGATCCGGAACTGCAAGCAGCAAAAAACTTGCGAAGAATAAAGCTGGTAATGTGCCTATTTGGGTGTCAGAGACCTATGCTACCTACTGTGTCTGCCTCTCCCCTTAGCTGGGGAGGGCTGGGGGTAGAGCAAATCCATTTTATTTATGTAATCATCTACCTTGGTTTTTTAAAAGTATGTGCTCTTTGGAAAAGACTCAAGTAGAGGAAGTAAAGTGTGAGAAATAAAAGTAGAAAATGCAAACCTCTGCTCGGTGGAGGCTGGGCCAGAATCTTCCAACCTTGTCCCCACCACTCACAGAGCTGACTAGGCTGTGCCTAGCACGCATACTAGAGCGGGTTTGTATTTAAACTAAGCAAAACGTGGGCATCTTAGGAGATGACAAACAGGTGGAAACATATGCAGTCAGCATTCTCCTTGAGTGGTTTTGACATGTGCGAGGACGATTTCCTGAGTCCTTCAAACCGCCATTCATTGAACATAGCCTGTCAGATCCCTGGGAAGGCCTATGTTTCTGGTTAAAATGGAAACCGTTCTGCCTCACCATTAGGATTACTTGACCTCTTCTTGGGAGTAGAGCACATTGCATGATACATGTTGGGTGTACCCAGACACTGGCGCCCACAATTCCATTCTTGAGGTTTCTCTGTTGTGTCTTCCAAAGCATGAAGCATGTTGGTTTATCACATTCTCACCAGGTCTCGAGGGTGGTGAAAGTGCTTTTGCTCACGTGACTCAGAATTTCCTTTGGAGTTGCTTTCTTTGGTGATGTATGCTGAGGATGATTGGGAGAATATGTTACTTTCTATCCTTTCGTCACGGGTTCTCCCTCAAGGCCTGCTGTCCATTTTAGGCAGAAAACTGACAAAAGCCTTTTTCAGCTCAACAAACTGGTGCTGCTAAGGTCATGGGGCACATAACCAGCAGAGTGGGGCTCATTGTGGGAGTGGAAACGTCCTGGCAGTGGGGCTCTGCTCTCCCCATGTGCAAGGATCCACTTCTCTGCCCAGACCCCAGCTGCTCTCTTGATACCTCACTCAGATGTCTTGCCAGTACCTACAACTCTACAGGGTCAGACTTTTGCCCCTCCCCTGTTCTGCAGCACCCCCCGCTTCCCCACCCCAGTGGTGAGTGGCAGCCTTGCTCACGCAGAAACCTGTGCTCAGCATTGAGTCATCCCTCTGCTCCATCCTGCAGATGCTTTCTCCAAAGTATCTGTCCAATCGCTCTGCTTTTCCCTGCCACACTCAGCAGCCTGCTCACTCCTCAGGCCTCGCTGCCTGGCCTGCTACAAGTACCTCAGGGCAAGAGTACACACAGCTCGGTGTGGCTTACAAGGCTGCCCACAGTCTTAACGCTTGTCCCACGGCCTCCTTTGTTTAGGATGTGCACCTCCCGTCCTCTGCTCTCCCTGCCTGTGAAGTGCTGCTTGCTGTTCCCCAGGGCCCTTGCTTTCCTCTGAGCCGTGGGTACTCTGGCCCTACACAGGAGTCAGCATGTCATCTCCAGCATGCTCTGGAGTTAGGAAGCAAGCTGGGCCTGAGCCCTCACCCTTGGGGTTTTTCTTTTCATAGCCCGAGCTACGCTGGAGATCCTTATCCCTGACTTTGTCAAACAAACCTCTGAGGAAAAGCCCAAAGACAGTGAAGAGCTTGAGGTGAGTGTTGTGATCCTGCCCTGTTTGGAGCTGTGGTCCCAGTGCGGTGTCCACACCCCACCCTCCTCACTAGTGCAGGTTATGCTTACGGATTTAGTCACCCAAGCTCTAGGTGATTTTGTTTTGTTCATATTTTATAAAAGGGGAAACTAGCTTGTCTTTGTGCAAACAGGGGGAAAGGTGTTATTTTTGTCAGAGATTTTTGTCCCGTGTCTTGCAGTGAGTGGTAAAGAATGTGCATAATAAGTGTATACGGGAGTTCGTCAGCTCTACCCTGACTGGAGATCCATGGTGAGAATGAAACTTTGAGACTGTCTGTAAAAGTTATGTCGTTCTTTGTATTAAGAACTACTTAAAACTACTTGTGAACTTTCTTGGGTAAATATGATAAAATGGATATTTGTAGTAAGGTCTTCTCAAATTCTGAGGAAGGTGTTCTTTTTTATAAGTTCATTAAAAATATTTTTTTTTAAGTTTATTTTAGAGAGAGAGGGCATGAGCGAGGGACAGAAAGGGAGAGAGAGAGAATCCCAAGCAGGCTCTGTGCTGTCAGTGCAGAGCCCAATGTGGGGCTCAGACTCAAACCATGAGATAATGACCTGAGCCAAGATCAAGAGTCGGATGCTTAAGCAACTGAGCCACTCAGAAGCCTCTCTAACAGTTTTATTGATATGTAATTTGTATACCATGAGTTTTGCTCTTTTAAACCGTACTGTTGAGTGGATTTTTGTGTATTCAGAGTTGTACAATCATCGCTTGCAGTGTTCTAATTTTAGAATATTTTCATCTCTCTGGGAGGAAACCCCATACCCATAAGCAGTCACTCCTAATTCTCCCTGTTCCTTGCCCCTCAACCCCTGGCGACCACTAATCTCTCTGTCTTGATGGATTTACTAGTTCTGGACACTTCATACCAATGGAATCATATGACATGTGGTCCTTTGTGACTGGCTTCTTTTATTTACCATGCTGTCTTAGCTGTAGGTTTTATCAGATTGAGGAAATTTCCTTCTGCTCTTGGTTTGCTGGGAGTTTTTTTTAGGAACGGATGTTGGATTTTGTTAGATGTTTTTCCTGCTTGTACTGAAATGATTGTCAGGTTTTTGTTTTTTACTTTAGTCATGTGGTGGTATATTGCATAGGTTTTTGAATGTTAAACCAACCTTGGATTTCTGGGATAAATCCCACTTAGTCATGGTGCACGTAAGTTTGATGTGTTGCTGGATTTAGCGTGCTGGTATTTTAAGGACTTTTGCAGTTATATTTATAAGGAATACTTGTCTGTAGTTTTCTTGTGATGTCTGGTGTTGGTGTTGGGGTAATACTGTCTTTACAGAATGAGGTGGAAAGTGTTCCTTTCTCTACTATTGGTGTGGAATATTTCGTGAAAGTTGGTAGTAATTTTTTAAACATTTGATAGAATTCACCAGTGAGGGGCGCCTGGGTGGCACAGTCGGTTAAGCGTCCGACTTCAGCCAGGTCACGATCTCGCGGTCCGTGAGTTCGAGCCCCGCGTCAGGCTCTGGGCTGATGGCTCAGAGCCTGGAGCCTGTTTCCGATTCTGTGTCTCCCTCTCTCTCTGCCCCTCCCCCGTTCATGCTCTGTCTCTCTCTATCCCCAAAATAAATAAACATTGAAAAAAAAATTTTTTTTTAAAAAGAATTCACCAGTGAAACCATCTGAGTCCAGACTTGAATTTGTCTGAGGTTAGTTAATTACTAATTCAATCTTTTCACTTTGTTCAAATATCCTATTCCTTTTTGAGCTGGTTTGGAAACTTTGGGTTTTTATAGGAATTTTTCATTTTGATCTAGACTAATTCTTTGGCATACATTTATTCATAGTGTTCCATTATGATCCACGTTGTTTTGGTAAGTTTGTGCTGCTCCTGCTTTCATTACTGGTTTTAGTAGTTGAGTCCCTCTTTTTTTCTCTTGGTCAATTTAAAGTTTGTCAGTGTTGTTGATCTTTCAAAGATCTAACTTCCGGTTTTGTTGATTCCCCCCCCCACCCCCCCAACACAATAGCGTTGTTACTGTCTGTTTCATTTATTTGTGCTGTAGCCTTTGTTTCCTTTCTTCTGCCAACCTTAGGTTTAGTTTGTTTTTCTTTTCTAGTGTCTTCAGAGTATTGATTGGAGATCTTTTCTTTTTATTTATTCCATTTAATTTTATTATTTATTTATTTATTTATTTATTTAGAGAGAGAGAGAGTACACACGAGTAGGGGAGAGGGGCAGAGGTAGAGAGTGTGAGAGAGATTCTTAAGCAGGCTCCATGCTCAGGGCTCAATCCCACAACCCTGGGATCATGACCTGAGCTGAAATCAAGAGTCAGGTGCTTAACTGACTCAGCCACCCAGGTGCCCCCTGAGATCTTCTTTCTAAATATTGGAGCTTGGGCTATAAATTTTTTTCTATGTACTACTTTAACTGCGGCCCATAAGCTCTAGTGTGTGTTCTATTTTTTGTTCACCTCAAAGTGTTTTTCTCATTTCTCTTGTGGTTTCTTCTTGAACCATTGGTTATTTTAGGAATGTCTACTTTCCATCTATTTGTGAATTTCCCAAATTTCCTTTAGTTATTGATCTTTAATTCCAGTGCGGTTCAAAAACATAGTTTGTATGATTTCAGTCAGTCTTTTAAATTCATTGAAGTTTGTTTTATGACCTAACATACGATTTGCCCTAGAGAATGTTTTATATGCAAGTGTACTATGGAGTGAACCAGATGCCTGTTAGGTCTAGTTGGTGTATAGTGTTATCTTCCTTTGTTGATCTTCTGCCTAGTTCTTCTATCCGTTCTTGAATGTGGGTATTGGAGTCTTCTGCTGTTGTTATTGAATTATAGCTTCTTTCAATTCTGTTTTTGCTTCATGTATTTTGAGGCTGTTGGTAGCTACATATATATGTTGGTGGTATTGGGAGGTAATTAGAAATGTATGTTTGGTCTTTGTTCTTGGTTCCTGGTGCAGAGCTTCTAATGTAATACAGTACATTAATGTGTTTTTTGTCCCCATTTTTTTAAAAAGCTGCAGGTTGAGGGCGCCTGGGTGGCGCAGTCGGTTGAGCGTCCGACTTCAGCCAGGTCATGATCTCGCGGTCCGTGAGTTCGAGCCCCGTGTCGGGCTCTGGGCTGATGGCTCAGAGCCTGGAGCCTGTTTCCGATTCTGTGTCTCCCTCTCTCTCTGCCCCTCCCCCGCTCATGCTCTGTCTCTCTCTGTCCCAAAAATAAATAAACATTGAAAAAAAAAATTAAAAAAAAAAAAGCTGCAGGTTGATAAAGGTGAATGTTTTTTGTTATTTTTAACAGACTCCTTTTTTTAAGATTTTTTTCCTATTTATTTATTTATGAGAGAGAGGGAGAGAGAGAATCTCATGAGGGGCAGAGAGAAAGGGAATCCCACGCAACAATGACAGTGCAGAGCCCGAAGTGGGACTTGAATTTGCCTGAAGCTGCGCTCAAACTCACGAACTGTGAAATCATGACCTGAGCCTAAGTCAGATGCTTAACTGACTGAGCCACTCGGGCACCCCTTAACAGGCCCCTTTCAACCACATCTGAGTTTATGTTAATGAAGTAGCTTTTGGACCATTCCTTTGGGTGGGAGCTGGTTGCCCAGGGAATTTACCATCTAATTAGAGGGTTGGGACTTTCAGGGGCCTCCCCCTCCTGTGTGTTTGGGGGGAGGCACTGGATGTTGAGCTAATTGCTAATGCTCAATGAGGTAATCAGTTATGCCTGTATAGTGAAGCCTCCATTAAAAAACTCTTAACTGAAGGGGTTCAGAGAGCTTCTTGGTTGATGAACACATTGAGATGCTGAAAAGATGGCAGGCTCAGAGAAGGCATGGAAGCTCTGTACCCCTTCTTTTATACTTGCCCTATTTATCTTTTCCATCTGGCTGTTTCTAAGTTATATCCTTTTGTAATAAAGCAGGGCTCTAGGAAGTAAAACGGAGGAAGGGTTGGCAACCGCCAGTATATAGCTGCTCAGTCAGAAGCACAGGTGACAACCTGGACTTGAGGTTAGTGGCAAGTGGTGGCAATAGTCTTGTAGGACTGAGCCCTTAATCTGCAGGATCTGCTCTAACTCCTGGCAGTTAGAATTAGAACGGCTTGGTGTGGAAACACATTCATTTGGTGTCACAAGTGTTCAAACCAGAAGTCAGTTCTATTTAATGTTTATAATGGTTATGTCACCTTGATGGATGGACTCTTTGTCATTATTAAATATCCTTTATCTTTAGTAACAGGTTTTGTCTTAGTGTCTTAGAGTCCGTTTTCTCTGATACAGTCATTCCTACGTTTTTTTTTTTTTTAATTTTTAATATTTGTTTATTTTTGAGAGAGAGACAGAGTGTTAGCAGGGAGGGGCAGAGAGAGAGGGAGACACAGAATCCAAAGCAGGCTCCAGGCTCTGAGCTGCCAGCACAGAGCCCAATGTGGGGCTTGAACTCACGAACCATCAGATCATGACCTGAGCTGAAGTCAGACGGTTAACTGACTGAGCCACCCAGGCGCCCAGTCATTCCTACTTTCTTTTTTTTTTTTCAACGTTTATTTATTTTTGGGACAGAGAGAGGCAGAGCATGAACGGGGCAGGGGCAGAGAGAGAGAGAGGGAGACACAGAATCGGAAACAGGCTCCAGGCTCTGAGCCATCAGCCCAGAGCCCGACGCGGGGCTCGAACTCATGGACCGCGAGATCGTGACCTGGCTGAAGTCGGACGCTCAACCGACTGCGCCACCCAGGCGCCCCGCCTCTTCTGTTTTAAATACTTTCTAATGTACCACTTTAATTCTCTTGTTTCTTTCACTGTATATACATATATTTTTAAATTTTTTTAACATTTATTTATTTTTGAGAGACAGCGTGAGCAGGGTAGGGGCAAGAGAGAGAGGGAGACACAGAATCTGAAGCAGGCTCCAGGCTCTGGAGCCTGACGTGGGGCTTGAACTCACAAGCTGTGTGATCATGACCTGAGCCGAAGTCGGACACTT